GTTTATTGTCAGACCAGGACGCGGATATGGATCTTCTTACCCAGGACGATGTAGTTAATCGTCTTACCCAGAACGCGGATATAGTTTATCGTCATACCCAGGACGCGGATGTAATTCATACCCATATTGTTTATCGACCCAGGACGCGGATGTAGTTTATTGTCAGACCCAGGACGCGGATATGGTTTATCGTCATAGGACGCGGATATAGTTTACAGAACGCGGATGTAGTTTATCGTCTTACCCAGGACGGAAAAACTGGGAAAAGATAGTAGTAGGGAAACGAAAAAAATAGATATGGGAAGGCTGAGTGAAAAAAAAAAAAAAAAAAAATACCCCAAAAGGAACGCTTGTATGGAAGATCTTAAGAGTAATAAAAACTGAATAGATGAAATAGGACTAATAGGCAGACACTATAGATCAGGACTGACAGACAGAGTGAATAGATAAAACATGACTGATTGATAGATAGAGGCTAAATAAAACAGTATTGACAGAGACTGAATAGGTAAACTGAATATATAGAAAGTCAATGACAGACAGACCAACTGAATGGATAGAAAAAATGACTAGGTAGAACAGAACAGACAGACTGAAAAGATAGAACACAGACAGACAGACTCAGTAGATAGATCAGGATTCACAGACCAACAAATAGGTAGCAAACAATTTAAAGACAGACTGAATTAATAGGTAGAATAGGACCGAATAGAGAGAACATGTTTAACAGACGAACAGACGTCAGGGTTCACAGACGAACACACTGAACAGATCGAAAAGAAGTGGCAGACATACAGCCAGACAGATCGATAAGCTTTTCTAACTCATTTGTTCCTTACGTTGTCGCCGGACTCACGTCGTGCTCTTCAACTCTGTACTCTTGGCAACTCCGACCACGTGGGATTATTTGTAGATATTTCTTTCCGCTCATCTATTAGGCAAGAACCCCCTATTAATAGGAAATTTCATAATTTTCTTCGCGGCGCCCATTGGAAGAATATTTTTAATCATTTCGTTGAAAAGTGTGCCACGAAATGAAAGCATCTAAATACTAAATGAAATTGAGCTATCTTCCTTCGACAGAGAGAAACAGCTAAATCTAGCATATTGTTTTGTTATAGAGAACGAAAAGGTTTTTCTTCCTCCGTATGAATCCGAATCCCTCGTCGCCAAATTGTTATAGAGTAGTTTCACAGAGGAGGCTTGTATTTCATTAAGTCGGTCCTAAAAAAGGCTCGACGTACAAAACGTTAGGAACTTGAAATGATAGTTAATGACGCGGCTATCTAGGCTGAAACTTTAATGTCCGACATCGACTGACTCACCAACTCACTGAGCTCACTGGCGACTGATACTACTACTACTTATTATATGTGGGAGAGTCTATTAATAATAGAATAGGTATGTTCCGGTATAACAGTGTTTAGAAATGTAAATGGTATGTCGAAAGTACTCGGAAATAAACACAATATGAGCCAACACGGTGCTTTCCTCTTCTCTTTTAATAAGCGCACAAAAAAGCTTATCCTCGAATATGAAAGGATCCTATCGAGAATAAGTAGACAGAAGATGTCTAAATTATTTAACGTAACCTGTCTTAATTTAATATATATATATATATATATATATATTTATGTGTGTGTGTGTGTGTGTGTGTGTGTGTGTGTGTGTTGTAGCCTTGTTAGAGCCAGAAATAAAGACACAAAGAGAGGAATTGAGTTAAACATATATATTAACAGAAAAAGTAATACAAACCAGAGTGTTACAGCAACAATGTTCGTCCGACTGTCAGAGCTGACTGCTGGAAACTTACCGACAAAAGGCAGTACCTGCTCCTATTTTTAGCTGGGAGTATCAATGCGTGCGTGAGATAAATTACCATAACAATATATAATATATATATATATATATATATATATATATATATATATATATATATATATATGTGGATGTCGTCTCGCAAAAGGGTTTGTCTAGCACTGACATGTCCAGACATTCATTTATATATATATATATATATATATATATATATATATATATAAGTTCGTAGTACAACAAAATTTCCAGTGAGTTTTACCAACTCATCAATCACGGACTATTATGGTTTGCCTTTTTTTAAAAAAAAAAAACACAACCGTTATATTTCGTACCTGATGAGTTGCTAAAAAATCACGAAACTTTAAGTTGTACGATGAACGTAGGTATATGCATATATATATATATATATATATATATATATATATATATATATATATATATATATATATATATCGCTATTTGGTTAGGGAGATTACTGGCGGCTCTGTAAACGTGTATTGGCCAAGAATAAAACTCTCAGTTTCTATTCTCTTTAGTCATGTTTATTTAATCTCATCTATTGCAGTTGGAGAATGCTTTGCTCGGAATTCTTTTCAAGCTCGGCAATCCACTCATCAAGAGTATATTTTCCTGATCTTACCCGACAATGGAGTCTGTACTGAATGATATGATTATAACTCTCTCCATGGTTGAAGCTATTATATCTTTAACTAGACCCCCCTCCTCACAAGGCTCACAGATTCAACAGTATCCTTGCAACGATCTTTGTGTGCCCCTGAGCTGGCTCCTGTCCTCATCTAGCTGCTTCTTGCTTTTCACCTTGTTGGAAATTGTTTACTATATTTCTTCTCGTTAAGAATTATGGTGAACTTTCTGACCCATGAAATTACGGCCCTCTTTTTTGACAAAATGCTAGAATCTCTAGACGCCTATTTAGTTAAGCATCTCACATCTGACGGCCTTCTTTGAGATAAACAATATGGCTTACGCTTCTCTAGGTCTACCGTCGATATGTCAATGCGTATTACTGAAATTGACTATCAGGTTTTAGATAAGAACGGCTCGGGCTGTGGCTTTAGATATCTCGAACGCGTTCGACATGGTTCTGCATGCTGGCTTCCCCTACAAGCTCAAGGACTACGGTGTTGCTGGATGAATATTTGGCTTAATCTAATCGTTCCTGAAGAAATCGTGTAATGAAAGACGTGTTGAACAGATACGCTTCTAGATCACTTCAGATTAAGGCGGGAGTCTCACTGGAATATCTCCTTGGACCTATGCCGTTTCCTGTCTTCATCTACGACCTTCACGACATCACCAGCTTCCAACTAGGTATTTATACTGGTAGCACGACTATTCACTTCTGGGTAGCAAGTCCCACGGATCCGATAAAGTAAAACGGGCTGCTGCTCTCGAAAATGACCTCCGATCAGTGTCTAACATGGCAAAGGAATACATTCTAAATTTTAACGCACCCCCTCCCCCAAAAAAACAAAACTGATTTCATTTAACCACTATAGAGAATCTTTTCTTCAGCATGGCTGATGCTAACCTCCCGGTCTCCTTAATATCTGTCCATATTTCTAAGTTGATGTATTGTAACACTATTTTCATTGTCCTCATTTTTCTTTACCATATTGACGACATTTCTTCAGGTAATTGTAATTTCGAACTGAACCCTTTATTTCGTCCACTGGTTCTAGTTCTACATGCTGTGCCTCTTCTGAGTGTCTTAATGTTAGTTATCTCCCTTTAACGCAACAAGTTTTTTTTAACCACAGATGTAGCCATGTATTGAACGCTCAAGACTTTGGATCAAGTCACTGGGTCTAATTCAGTAACATTTTTTTTATCAGTGCTCATATTGCAATTTTGTTGTTATTATTTTTTTTGTAACGCTCCGTATCACTGGTCCCCATGCTGTATTTATTTCTATGCTTGGCCGGCTGAGGAAATTTGTGTGGATATGCGCGGATTCCTTAAGTTTTCGTATTTTTCCGGTGATGTTCTCTGGTATTTCAATCTCTCTTTTGCCTCCATATATAAGGGATCGGTTCGAAATTCCAATCGTCTGAAGAAGGACCGATCGTAAAACGGCCGAAACGTCATGAATGTGGCAACAAAGATGAGAGCAGCTGTCCAAACAATATAAATGGTGTAGACAATCTACTTAAATATTGTAGCAATTTGAACCTTCAGTTTCTAAATGGCACGAGGATTTCCCCGATAAACAAGGTGTGAACCTTGGGGAGCGAGCCGTCAACTCAGTTGGGGCCGCAGTGTCCGATCCAATTTCCAGCAAAGTTTGCCTCATGCTACTGACGAAACAAAACAAAACAAAAAACAAAAAAAATGAAAGAAAATTCATAATGCAAGAAATATTTAAACACTACACGGGCGTTACTTTTGCACCCAACATGTACATATTTATTTTTGGGTGCTAAAATGTTCTCGTCCCGAGCACGAAAACCTTTATTTAATTAGCGATTGTTGATAAAAGCCTAAAAAGAATCTGAAATGTTATCAGTCCTGAACTGGCATCAGTCACTTTCGCACTGATGTAGCTTGTTGTATCGTTGAGGGTCATGATACACAGAGAAGAATGAATACTTAATAAATTTATTCATCACCAGTATCCGGATATATACAAAAAAACACAGAACAATAAGTTATAAAACAATTAACAAGACAACTTACAAGGAATAAAGGAGGGTCAAATGCTGTACAGCCAAACGAAGTAAAAATATTAATCAGCTTAGTATCATCTTATTTATCAACCGTTGAAGTCCTTAATCGTAAACTATTTAAGGCTATGTGCCAGGCCATCTGGTAGAACACTGACTGGGTGCTAGCTAGTCTACAACACTTTTCTGTAATTTTTTTCATGGTAATTATTATAAGCTTTCTTCTTTGGTGTCTCGACGTTACGAATTTAAGAGCAGTACTGGATTGGCAGTTAGGTCTCATCATTTTACAGTTGGAATGACTAGATTTAACGGAAGGTTTTTATGCTTCTCTCTTCTGGCTTTTGGCTTTTCAGTCATGTTTGATCTTCAAAAATGTAAATGCATCGTTATCCTCTGGATTACCGTTATTATTGTTCTTGCTCCTTAAGGTTTTTCTATTTAGCATATTGTTTCACGCTTAGAATCACTTGCGTCTTAGTGGCTTTAATTCCTTGC